AGAAGTTCAAGCTGCTTTGAAGGAAATAGCAAAAAATAAGGCTCCAGGAATAGATGGTATACCAATTGACATATTTCAGCTAACAGGTGCTGCCCTGGATATGCTCACAGAGTTGTGCCAAGAAGTCTGGAGAACAGCCACTTGGCCAGCTGACTGGAAGAGATCTATATTTGTTCCCATTCCAAAGAAGGGTGACCCAACTGAGTGCGGAAACTACAGAACAGTATCATTAATTTCACACGCAAGCAAGATTCTACTGGAAATTATCCAAAAACGACTGGAACAGCACATCAGAGAATGGCCAGAAGTCCAGGCTGGGTTTAGAAGGGTTGTGGAATAGGATGCTTATTTATCCTTGGAGGTAGAGTCCCTTCATGTGTAGCTAGATGATTCCTAGGGATTACTGCTAAGGCAGGTTTGAGTGGTTTTTGTTGTTTGAATTCTCAGCTTGGCAGCTCAGCTCATTGCCTTTGAGTTAGAACTGACTCACAGCTGTCTCTTCAGTAGATTGTCAGAGGCTGTACATTGCAAGGGAGAAGATTGTCTTTCTTCCATGGGGCAGCTGGTGAATTCAAGCTGCCTGCCTTTGTACTTAAGGGGCGTGCAGCACCCTACTCCCTTGGCCACCTGAGCTCCCTGATTGAGTGCTGGGTGAACTAATTCAGCAATTTCAGAAGATTCAGTTTGTTGGCTTAATGTAAATTGTGGTGCACTTTGAATGAAACTTTTATTACTGTTACTAATTTTGAAACCTTATCTAAACTGTTGCAGTTTAAGTATCTGAAGTATGCTGATAGGAGCCCTGCTATTACATTTGTGGAAAAAAGATGGGCAGTCTACTTTTGTTAGGATTGGAAATCCTGTTAAGGGTCACTGTGAATCACTATTAGCTCAAAAGACAGGGAGTTTTTCAAGAAGAAAACTGTAGTTGAGGAGAAAACTAAAGCAGTCAGAGGCTGTGATAATAAAATAACTCTGACCTAATGCTTTTGAATCAGCACTAACTCAGCTGACCCTTCCTGGGATTGTGAGACTGCAGATCACACAAGAGATTGCCTGTCCTTCTTCCAAGGAGCCATTGGTGGATTTGACCTGCCAAAGAGGCTTAACCATTGGATTAGCGGTGCAGCTCCTATGGACTGCACCAGCAGAACTCCCTTATAGATAATAATATTAAAATAATTTTTGATCAGCGTAGCTGTCAGACAAATTTGGAACAGAAAGAACTGTAGCTGTATGTGCCCTTTCTTCTTTACTCAGTTGCTGAATCTATTCAACTCTTAGCAGCTTCAAGTGATAGAATAAAATTTCTTGCTTATACTGTTTATGGATCATAAGACTTTTCTCCCTTAAAGTCAGTTGGTGGATTTGAACTTTCAACCTTTCATTTAGCCTCATGCTTAACTGTTGCACCACCAGGGTGCCTTTATTCAGTAGTCCTTTGCTTAAAAAAGGATTTCTAGTTTTGGAGATACAGTGATATTTTAAATATTTGTTTCTTTTTTTCTGTTTTCTCGATTTCCCCCACAGTTTCTCTCTAACTGCATTAGATATTGGATATCAGCTTTAACTACTGGTTTGTTTCTAGAGAATGTGATTTAGTTCATTCTCAACCTAATCTAAGGAGTTCTGGTGGCCTAATGGTACAGAGTTGTGCTGGCACCCTAGGGCACGTGATTTGTATTTACCAGCTGCTCCATGGTAGAAAGATAAATAGTCTCTCCTCACATGAGATTTACACCCTCAGAAAACCTGGTGGATGGGTGAGCTATGAGTTGGTTCCAACTCTATGACACGTTAAGAGTCCTAACTTCTATCTGGGTCAGAATTTGCTCTTGGTCGCTAGGGGGCAGCAAATACAAAGATTCTAACCCAAACAAAGGCTTTGTGGAGGACTCTTTTTATTTTTTTCTGTTCTTTGTCTCCTGAAATCCTCACTTCTGCTTCTCTTAGAATGAATTACTGTTGTTGTTCTGTTCTGTCAAGTCAAGTCAGAACAACTTGTGGGTAAAATTGTTGTTGTTAAGTGCCACTGAGTCACTTGCAACTCATAGCCGACCCTATGTACAAGAGCCCTAAACTCTGCTTTATCCAGTGCCAATCTTAATATCTCCGACACACCTACCCCGATTACCCCAGTCACTGAATCCATCCATCTCATCGAGGGTCTTCCCTCCTGTGCTGTCCCTTCACCCTCCCAAGCATGACGTCCCTCTCCAAGGACTGGTCCCTCTTTGCAACAAACATCACTCCTCTTTATTTCTTTCTTTGTTTTAGTAGTGACATAAGGCTCAAGCTAGTGCAAAATGGTAATCAGGTTTCACTTCTTTTATAGTTATTTTCTGATTAAAATGAACACTTAAAATGCTTTAGTTACTTATAGAAAATGTATACTCTGAACATCAGCCAGGAAGGAAAAAACATTTTAACTTTACCTGGATCCTCTTTCTGAGTTTTGTTTATATTTGAACTTTTCTCCAAATAGCAGTACTTAAATATATTTTAACTAATTTATTTTTTCTTCTCTTGGAACTGTTTTGGGAGTTGTCCAACATTATTTCCTTCCAAAGGGAAAGGCTTTTGGTACTTTAAATATGGGTTGTTGTTTGTACTGAATAGAGTATATGTATGTAAGCCCAGCTGCCTTATTTCATCTAAATACTTATTTTATGTAGGTTTATTTTAATAGACCCATTCTTCCTTCTTCACATTCCCAGGTGCCTGAAGTTTGTCTTTTTTGAAGTTCTGCATATTTTGATTGTTTTGGAAGGTTCCATTTGAGCAGTTGAATTTTTTTTTTCTTTTCTTCTTTAGATTAATGTTATTTGATCATTGATTTTATTTAGCTAAGTTCAGAAATTCTGATAGTAATTTGTGTTCTAAATTCTGTTTTTTAACAGTCTAAACTATAATCTTGACATTTTGATCTTATTTTTCATATTTATAATGATTCCATTGATTTACTTGACTGATTTCTTCTCTCTCTCTCTCTGTAGGCACCAGAATTTCCTGAGTTCACCACTAAAGTTCAAGAAGCTATAAATTCCTTAGGGGGCAGTGTGTTTCCGAAGCTTAACTGGAGTGCTCCAAGGGTAGGAAAACAGGGAATTTCTTACTGTTTGAATTTTATTTGTTTTGCTATTTATTTCCTTTTATATCTCCTATATTCCTAGTTGTAAGGAAGATAGAATCTATTACCATTTTCTCTCTAACATTTTTACTCTGTACTTTCTTAGGTTTGTGAAATGCTATTTTGCAAGAGACAATTTCTTTCTCTAGTGTTGGTGATTGTGTTAAAATTCTAGAGAAATTCGCTTTCTACTCTTCAGAATTCTAGCTCTTCAATTATGTTTAGCAAATACATCCTTTTTGGTTGAAAGTAATAAAAATTAAAATGTTACAGGATTTACAAATAAAGCCGTTTGAGAAATCAGCTAATTCTTTTATTCTTGAATTGTATTAACAAGATTTTTTTTAAGGAGTTAAGATTTATAACAAAATTTACTCTTTTTCCTTTGCTCATCTTCCTTATAGTTACATCATACTTTTGGTTAGATCAAGATTCTGTATTTGCAGTTACTATAATTATGCAAACACCAAGTATACACCTGATACATATGGCACTTTCATTACTTATTACAGACTTATTGCTATACTTTTCTTGGAGAAGGACATTAAGGTTGGTAAAAGGTCTGTAAGAAAGAGGATGACCCTCAAGAGGATGGACTGAGATAATGACAGCAACACTGGGCTGAAATATAGTGACAGCTGTGAGGGTGGTGCGGGATGGACAGTGATTTGTTCTGTCCTTCACAGGTCACCTTAAGTCAGAACTGACTCAGTAGCATCTACTAGCAGTATGTTTTCTTACTCAACATTTTCCTTTCTGTGGAGTTAGTAATTGTCTTATTTACTCAGTTCTATATTTTATTGTGGCATCAGGGTTGGAAGAATAATCATCAACAACCTGCGTTATGCAGAAGACACAACCTTGCTTGCTGAAACTTGTGGAAGGTCAGGGACTGTAGTCTTCAGTATGGATTGAGACTCAATATCAAGAAAACAAAGATTCTCACCACTGGGCTGATTGGCAGCGTCATAATGGATGGTGAAGAGATTGAGATTGTTCATAATTCTGGTTTGCTTGGATCCACAGTCAACACTCTTGGCACCAGCAGCCAGGAAATTAAAAGACGTATTGTGTTGGGAAAGTCTGCGATTAGAGACCTCTCTAAAGTGCTGAAGTGCAAAAAGATGTCAGTCTGGAGACCAAGGTGCGCCTGATACATGCCATGGTCTTTGCAATCACTTGCTGTGCATCGGAGAGCTGGATGATGACTAGGGATGATAGAAGGAAAATTGATGCCTTTGAGCTGTGGTGTCGGCGAAGACTATTGGATATACCTTGGACAGCTAGGAAAACGAACAGATTTGTCCTGGAGAGAGGGTGAAGCCAGGCTGCTTCTTGAAGGCAAAGATTCTGAAACTTCGTCTGACATACTTTGGACATGTTGCAAGGAGGGACCGGTCCTTGGAGAGAGATGTCATGCTTGGGAGGTTGGAGGGACAGCGCAAGGGAGGAAGACCCTCGATGAGATGGATTGATTCAGTGACGGGGGTAATAAAGGGGGCAGATGTGTCGGAAATGGTGAAATTGGCACAACATAGGGTCACCATGAGTCTCAGGTGACTCGACAGCACATAACAACAACAACAACAGATTTTATTGTGTACCTGTTGTTTTACTGTAATTAAATATGTATGTTCTCATAAAACATGACCTGGAGGCTCAAAGAAACTAGCCAAAACTGCTGACCACTCTAAAAGGGATCATAGCACAGGGTCCTAGGCTGAGTAGGGGGGAAAATGTAGATTCAAATTAAAAAAATATAAAATTAGCCCATCTTACTCATCTGATAGAGATAGATAAAACCCCCAAGCCTTTAGTCACCCTTCAAAGCTGGAATAAAACTCACCTCTGTGGCTTAACTTTTACCCAGATACTAGACAGACATATGATATGAGCAAAAGGAGGTACAAACTCCTTAGAATGATCATCCGTAAAATCAAGAGGGCTGCATTTTCCCAGGGATAAGCTCAGTATGCAGGAAGGGGGGAAAAAAGTATGTTTCATATACCGTCAATAATCAAAAGTTAATTATCATTTTTGTTGGGAGAAATTATAAAAATAAGTTATTGAAACCCTTTCTTGAGTCCTTCAACAGTAGCTTTTAGTTCTTTATCTATGTAAATAGTTTTTTAATCATTCATTGCTGCTAAACTGGATCAAGGCTTCTCACTTCAGGCCGGTAGATTATTAGTTCATTTGTTTTTATTTAGTATATACTAGGTGCCAGTGCTTTCTTCCAAGTAGTTAATTAGATAGTTTTTTTGCAGTTGTGTGTGTGTGTGTGTGTGTGTACATGAAGTGGATTTTTTAAAAAATAATTAGTCATTTTTTAAGGCATGTTTCACTAACCTTTACAAGTGAATCTTTTTTTTTTTTTTTTCACAAGTGAATCTTTTAAAATTGGGATAGTTCAGAAAGGCTCACCTCCTTCTCCCTCAGACTTGGTGGGCATGTGTTGTAGTTGTCCTAGTAACCAAACTTCCAGTGTTCTAATTGTCACTTCAGAGAAAGGAAAGGATCTCTTTTAAGTGTAAGTGTTCAGGCTACTTTTACTGTCTTAATACAAAAGTGCCAGTGTTTCTGATACTGCTTTCCCTTCCTCTTTCATTATCAATAGGAAAAACAGAGAAATGTTTGACCCAAACTTGAAACATAAGGACCATAATGTGTCAGTATTTGGAACTAAATGTTTGATATACCCTGTTTGCTCTTTGTTCTTCAGAAGTATAATTTGTCATTTGTTAATCTAGTTAAATGTCTTGATCTTGATCCTTTTTTTTAAAGCCTTTGGAATCATATGCTCTCTTAATTTGTTTATAAGCTTAAGCATCATTGATAGCAACTGACTTGGGATATGTATTAAATAGCATATGCTTTGTCATTTAGGATGCATACTGGATAGCAATGAATAGCTCTCTGAAATGTAAAACCCTCAGTGACATCTTTCTACTTTTCAAGAGTTCTGATTTCATCACTCGTGACTTCACTCAACCGTAAGTATCTCTTGTTTTCCCACATTAGTAACTTCATTACTTAAGCAAGTATTTCTGCAGATGAAATTAATATCCTTAAACATTTTTGTGGGTTTTTTTTTCCTTCTTGTAAAACCAACATGTGCTTATAGTAGAAAAACAACATTAATACATAGCTAAATAAAAAGAAGAAATATAAAAACTAATCACAATTTATTGTGTGTACTTGTAGAATTTTTTATGTGCCTGTATAAACATGCAGCTCTGGTGGCCTAGTGGCAAGTAGCTGTGCTCCAATCCCAAAGTTACATGTTTCAAGGCCACCAGTTGCTCTGTGGGAGATGGGTGGACATTCGCCTCCTGTGTGATTAACTGCATCTGAAAACCCCCCCAAAGGACCAGCTGTGGGTCAGTTCTGACTCTATGGTGCACAACAATTTATAAAATATAAACACACCTATCTAACTACATGTTTTCCAATCAATAGATTGTGCACAAGTTATACCTCCCCATTGGTTGCAATCTGCACAGTGTATTGTCACTCTCCTTACTATCCTCCCTAGGCCCTCAGTCGCCATTTATCCTTTTCCCCTGTCTTTTTATCTTTGGTTTTGAGAAATGTTACCCTTTTGGTCTCATAGAGTTGTTAATTCTGAGAACACATTCCTCATGGGTTGCAGACACAGGGTAAAATATTTTTATAATTATTAATAATGAGACAGACAGCTAGCCAGAAATGAGATAGAACAGAGAGCATGAAAAACAGGTGGCAGCAGTTCTTCACTAAAGACTCACATCCCAGCTTCTCTGTATCTTTATTGAAAATTATCAGTAAGTAAATCAAGAAGAGAATTCATTGCAAATGAAGCCAAGCTCTTTCTATTGAAAACCTTCCTCCTGACGCAGAAGGGAGAGGTCAGCAAATACAATGCAAGAATAGGGTAAACCCTTAAGAATTGCCTTGGTGCCTCAGGGTGAATTCTAGCTTGAACCACACCTCCCCCACATCTTGAGATAGCATTCACTTTATAGTATTTAGTATTGGCTTCCTTATACTCTTGGGTTTTGTTGTCTATTTTGTTTATCTGTCTATTATTTGACCATAAAGTGGCCGCTAGGAGTGTCTTCATTTAAGATTCTCTCAGAGCAATAGGCTCAGGGTTTCTCTAGTCTCTTTAAAACCATTAAGTCTGGTAAAGACAAAAATTTATAAGAGTAAATAATATATGAAAGTATTTTTTTTTTTTTTTATTTTTGTGTGCGTGTACCGTCAAATCAGATCTGACAGGTACAGGAGGAGATGGCCCCTCCTTCCCCAGCAGAGCACCTGGTGGATTTGAACCGTGCACTTCTGGGATTGTAGTTGCAGCTTCTTGCCACTAGGCCACCAGAGCTCCCATATATGAAAGTATTATTATCAAGGTACACTACTACTGTGCTTCTCCTTCCTCTGTTCCTGCCATACTGACTGATCCAAGAGAGATAGAACTCACACTATTTTAGAGTGCAGATTTAGACCACCAACATGAGGGTCTCCCACCTTCCTCCAAAGATTAAAATTTGTGTTCAGTTGAAGTAGTTGTCAATAGAGAAACTTGTCATCACCTCATTCCAGCTTTTTTTTGGTATGATACGTTTCTTTTCTTTTTTAAAATTACTATTATTATTCATTTTCATGAAAGTTTACAGACTTTGGATTGCCATTCATTCATTCATGGTTGCACTTTTCTCCTTGCCCATTTTCTTTCATTGTTATACAATATCCCCCCCCAATGCCCCCTCCAAGTCTATGCCACTATGCACCCTTCATTCTGGACTCCTGCCATGACAACAATACCTAATCATATATCCCTTTAAAACAGTTCTCTCCCTCATCTGTTTCAATGCAGTATACATTATTTGTCCCATCTTTTCTTAGTCTCCCCCCAACCTCATGTCAGTCCCGTTTTACAGCTGTGGCACTATGCAGTATTTGTCCTTTTGTGACTAAGATATTTCACTCAGCATAATGTCCTCCAGGGTCACCCATTTTGAATAATATTTCATGAGTTCCTTGTTTTTCAATGCAGCGTAGTATTCCATTGTGTGACTATACCACAGCTTTTCTATCCATTTGTTTGTTGATGGGCACTTAGCTTGTTTCCAAGTCTTTGCTGTTGTGAACAAAGTCACAATAAACATGGGTGTGCGTTCTTTTTTTAAATAAAATTTTCATTTTATACTTGTTTATTTGCAAAGTTTGTATACACTGTTTTTCACATCAGATCTTTCCCATTTCCTTTACCCACCTTTCCCTCCACTCTCCATCCATCAAATTGTGTGACCCTATGATTAACCATCCCCCCTCCCCATCCATCTTCACCCCTCTTTTTCTCCCCTCCCCCTCTTGGATCCTTATACACATTTTACTAGTTATCTTTCTGTTTCTATAAGAATGATCTTATACAGTATTTGTCTTTATAGGACTGAGTTAGTTCACTTAGCATACTGCTCTCTAGTCCCTCCCAAGTTAGTGATTTTCAAAATCATTGCTCCTGCTTGCTGTGAAGTATTCTGTTGTGTGAATGTACCACAATTTCTCAATCCGTTAGATTGTGTTTGAACATTTGGGCTGTTTCTATGTTCTTTCAAAGGTGAATAATGCTACTATGAACATTGGTGTACAAGTCTCCGTTTGTGCCTCAGAATGAGAACTGAGGCACAGACGAGAATTGAGGCATGATACATTTCTTAAGCATACTTCAGCTCATATAGTACATGCATGTGTATCCTTTCTCAGCTCTTTCTTTTTAACATAACATTGAACACATTCTATTTTATTTCCTACATTGTACGTTCCTGTTTTTTCTAATTGTGGTCGCCTATTCCCACAATTCCACATAAGCGTTCTTGTCATTAAATATATAAAATGTTTTCTTTCACTGTATGTAATATTTGGAATACCATCATAAAAATTATGTGTTGCGTAAATTCAGTTATGTTGATTATATTCACTTATGACAAACAGAAAATAGTTTGTCAGTTTTAAGACATATTTAGAGTATAAATTAATATGCCCATTCATTGTTACACCACTTGTCTGACAGTAAACATAATCTTACTTAAGTTGAGAAACTGTTGGGGAATTAATTTAGGTAGAGAGAAAACAGAATAGGAGGGCAGGGCAAGGTGAAGCTTTTTTTTTTTTTTTAATTTTTTTTT